TGGCTGGTGCCCTGGCCAAATGGGGCCAGGAGGACATGCTTTGACAGTTCAAAGCAGGCCACCACATCTGAAACATCTTCTGGGTGATAACTGCCCAGATGGCCAGGCAGGGGGGCACACATGGCAGTAGTGCTGCACAAAGGCCAACCCTGCAAACACCATCTACTGGCAGCTGACCCAGAGGGGCAGATGCCTCATCTAGGTCTGGCAGGTGCGCAGCAGAGCACCGGCAGGCAGCAGCCCCCGCTGCCAGACTCCTGCAGTGGGTAGAGGGTGCAGGGAACTCTCAGGGCTGCTTCAGCAGTCCAGCTGGCACAAGGGGTAGTGTCCCCAGGTACCAATTGGCTGGGCCCCAGAAGCTCCTGAGAGTAAGTAGCTTTGAAGCTACTTGCCGGGGCAACTTTTTGTATTGATGGGGCCAGGACAGGGCAGCTTTTTATACTGCTGGGGACAGCACAGGTGCTGGCCCCGGGCTCTAGGTCCCCCTGGCTGCAGATCTAGGGGGAGCGAGGAAGGGTTATTTTGCCCCAAGTGGCACAATTTGCTCCACAACAAAGTGCATGTCTGAGCACGTGCGCTGAGGAAAAAAGCCCCAGCTCAAATTTGCACCACTTTTGAGCTGCTGCAAGTGCATGTGCTTGCATGTATGGATGCACCCAGAGAGCCAGACAAACCAAGGGCACTCCACTAACACCTTGGGCCCATGGAGTGGCAGGGAATTTAAGTAAATGGTCCCAGATGATCTCAGGGAGTAGAACATGTTCCACACTACAGATGAATGCAAAACCTCTAGTAGTCCTCAACAATCTGAGCTGGCATAAATTCCTTCCTGACCCTGTATCTGGTTCTCAGTTTGCCTCTGGGCATCTGAGTATGGCAATAGCCAGGCTTTTCTCAGCACTGCTAGAAGCATTCTCTTGTTTCTCAAATATGCAGTCATATCCCCTTTCTTGTCTTCATGCTCCTAGGCTAAACAAACCACATGTTTTTAATCTGATCTTCCAAATGCCCCTCATTTCCCTCCTCTGCATCCATTCCAGTTTAAATTAATGTTTTATTTGATCCAGATTACCAGAACCATCCACAATATTCAAAACAATGTCTTACCAATGCCTTTTAACCAAAAGGCACTATAGCTTCACTGTCTCTACTAAAAATAAAGTTAGCTAGTACAATGTTGAATCACATTTGCATTCTGGGGTTGTCATATTGGTACCTTTGGTATCTTACAATCAACACTATATCCTGATCTCACTTCTTTTCCTCTACAACTTCCAAACTGTGAGCCTGTGGATAACAAAAATTCTTCATATTAATCTCCAAAGATAAGTAAGTATCTGCACTTTGCACAATTTATTCCATTTCTGTTATTCTTGTCTACAATATTCCCTCTAATTGTTCTGGTCCTCTTTAGTATTGGTGATTCCTCACAATGTACCCTCCACGAATTTTGGAAGTGCACACCCAATTATTTTGTTAATAAGAATTGAGTGCACAATGCACGAATCACTTCTGGTTAATAGTAGAATATTTCTTTTGTCCATCCCTGACTCATTTGACCTATAGTTCCTAGTTATATCTATGCTCTCTCCATGACCTGTTCTTACAGAGAGTTTCAGCTCTCACCTCCACAGTACATTTATTTCTCCTAGTCTGTTGCTTCACAGACCCAAGTGTAGATCTGAAAGGGCTCATCTCATGTCAGGTAGTAACAGAGTGGTGACTGGAACCATTTCCCAAATGCACATGCAATACTCTGATTTCCTAAACATTCCCAGCCAGGTTCATTTATTCAATATTCACTTCCTCTATCATTCTTTCGCTCATCACACCCACATCTTTACACACCACCCTCTGATGTCCAATAGTATTTGACCATTCTATCAAATGGCTTAAAAATGGATGTTGTCTTCAGAACTTTTTCACAATAGTTCTTCACCTTCTTCAATCCTCCTTTCTCCCAGATGTTCACTCAGTGCAGCTGAGGGAATGGCAAAAATGCTTGTGATAACTTGTTAATACCCTTTAGGTGTTCTCTAGCAAGTTTAAGGACTTTGGCTCCCTGTGAGATTTCAACTAAAAAAGATTAGATTGGCTCAAACTTTCACAAAGTAAAATTCTCTTCTTCCCAGATCAAATGCCATAATTGAAATTAAATTTTGTGTTACTGGATTAAAAGGGAATAACAATAGCAATAACAGGATGCTTAGTAGTTTAGTAACAATAACAGTAACAAGATGCTTTTAATTAGAGATAGACCAAAAAATGTTGATGCAACAAGACCATGATGAAAATAATGTGCTTTTGTCGCCTTTCTGAGATGAAAAATAAAAATTCATTAACCATTCTCAAGAAGAGGGACTGACTATCTCAAGGAAGAAATGCTGGGTCACGAATTTTCACAAATGAAGTTTTGGCAAAAGTTAATAATGCTGTTGAGCTGTTTACATACTGGGCTAATTATCTCAATCAAGTTTCCAGTGGATAGTTGCAAATGTTCTCAAATAAATATCACATCTATTAGCACCTTTGTTTACATTCCCTAGATAGGAAAAAGGATTTAATGTGCTGCAAGCTTCTGGTCTTCTTCCTCCTCCCTTTAAAAGGTGCTCCTTACAGATCAGTTGAGTCATTAAGGGAAGTGATAGCTCAGGTGATGCTGCCACTGACTCCATTACACCTGCACTCTGGATTTATTATTTGTTTTTGCAGCTGTACTTAGAAGACCTTTTCAGGTCTCAGGAACCCAGCGTGCTAGGTGTGCTTGGAACATAAAGCAAAAACACAGTCCTTGCTGCCCCCAAAATTGCCTTGGCCTATTGTTTCATCTACTCTCTCCACAATAAAATTCAGCACTCAAAATTTTAAACAACCAGCAGGAGAATTTTTTAGAATAAAAAAAATGATCATTGTTTTTCATACAAGGAACTGCCATACAAACTAAGCTAGTCAAGAGAAACAGACTGACTGGTTTAAGAACTGCATGAAACTATTGATTATCATCAGGAATACTGGTTTTCCATTTCCCATGGAAAAACAGAAAACCACAGATTTTCCCTTTTTATCAGAGAAAACATGGATTTCTCCTTTTAGCAGAGAAACCAGTGGATTCTCTGCTTTTGCAAACAGTTCTGCAGGCTGGTTGACTTCCAGCCTGCAAGAGCTGTTTGCAAACAGGGCAGAAAACCCCCAGGCCTGCCTGGAGGGGGAGGGGGAGGGCGGGGGCTGAGGTGCTCAGTCAGCCACAGCTCCACTCAGCTCAGCTTCACTCTTCACTCCTGGAGCCTGAGGTAAGTGGGGCTTGCAGAGGGCTGGGGTGGGGGGTGGGGGGGTCATGGCAGTGCTGGCTGGGGCAGGAGCTGGCCCTGCCCCCACCAGAGCAGGCAGCAGCAATGGGGGAGCCAGCTTCATGCTGCTTCTGCTGCAGCTGCCTGCTGTTGGGGGCAGGGAGCTGCAGACTTGGGTCCCTGGCCCCATAGCCCTGCAGCTGTGGGCTCCCACCAGCAGGGCTGGGGGGCAGGGGCTGTGGGTGGAGGCAAGAGGTATGAGTAGGGCAAGGGGCTGTCATGGGGACAATAAGGGGCACCAGCACAGTTGGGATGGCTTTGGGGGTGAGTGAGGGACACCAGCAAGGCTGGGAGGTCATTGAGGGATGAGTGAGGGGCACCAGCAGGGCTAGGGGGGGACTGCAGGGGTCTTTTAATTTTAATAATGGATTTTGGGTTTTTAAATCAGAGAATTTGTGGTTTTTTGTCAGAGAAAACCAGGATCCCTGATTATCATACATTTTGCTTTTGCGCATTTTCTGTGCTTCGGCATCTAGTTGAATAATCACCATTTTTCAAAGGAGGAATTCAGTTCTTTCATTCACAGTCCACCATTTTCTAGAGATCATCAAGTGTATTAAAAAGTAGCTATTACATGACACAAGATTTACCAAGTCCCAGGGAAAACAGAATTAAAAAAATAAGGTGATAAAGAACTTAAAGAATCAAAGATTTCTTGTTTAAAATATATACATACCGGTACAATATCTTACTTTTGATTGGCATCAGAGAGTCATAAATGGTCAGCGAGTCTGTGATACAGTTATCCGCTTCAATCTGAATAGATGCTATTGAGAGACGGATTAGATGGCCAACTAATGCAATCAGTTTGAAATAACAGATCATCATCCCTGAGGTAGCAGTGATATCCAAGGGAAAGTGCTGGTGCAGGTGATCTGCATACAGGTCATATATGCAACTTGAACCTGTGGAAATATAACATGGTCAGTATGATTTATTCATAAGTCTTTGGTCAAAGAAAGCTTGAGCCACAAGAAAATTTTAATAAAACAAAATTGTGATGAATATATAATGGGATGAATCAACAGCTGCAAGGGTAGGTCCAATAGAAGTACAGCTGTTTTGTAAAGGTGCTTCTTGCACATTAAATATGAAGTAGGCCAGAATTCCAAGATAAAAAACAACAAGGTTTAAATGCCATCCTTCTAAAGAGATCACCCTGTTCCAGGAGAGAAGTTAATAAGATTTCTTGTCTCTATGTCCATTAAGTTTTTCTCTTCTAAAAAAGTCAATCTGGTTACATATTGTTCTCTTAAATGCAAAAATTTAAGTCAGGGTTTTGTGAAACACTTGTACTATAAGATCCACCTGCATAAAGCTTGTCTTATTTCAGATTTGGGTTTTTTTAATTAAAATTTGAAACTCCCTCATCAAAAATTACTACTAGAAAGTAAAAATCTGATTTTAATGAAGCAGAGTCAATTTATGGTTTTGTGGTCAACTATGTCAACTCTTTAGTTCTAATTTCCATTCAAGCAGCCTTTGGATATTCAATTTGATTTTATCTCTAATCTAAACAAAGTTCCTTAAAAGGAGAAAAGGAAAATAAGTTAAATCAAGACAGACGTAAATAAAATATTCACAAGAGTGTCTTCAGCATTAAAAGGGTAATCTTACATTATAAGTTATTATCCCCTTGAAATATCAATGAAATTATCACTAGAGTATTAATTATCTAGACAAGTGAAAGAGTGAAGCCGGGAGTGAAGCAGCCAGTAAACCAGTAGTGAATCAAAACAGGTGAAGGCAGCTATTTATAAGACTCACTTGGAACATATGTTCTTGAAAACAAATGCCATGTATTTTCAGGGGTAATGAATAATGGTCATATGCCATCCAATTTGCCATAGTCTCAGTTAACAGCTTAAATTATTCGTGCATCTCTTACTAAGAGCCACAAAAAAGTGTTTGATTAACAGTTATACACATTTTCCCCCAATACTAGAAGAAAACTAGAAGAATGAATTGACTACAATAACTATGTGGGCCATATTATTAGGGAGGAAGAGAGGGTCCTGAGAGGTAGCTAGAAACCGTGGCCCAATACAGGCACCCACACTCCTGTTTAGGATCTTGCTCTTGGTGTCTGAATTGCAGCCAGGAACGCAACAGTGTGGCATCACCACAGGTTTTCTCAGACTCTACTGCAAGTCTCTTCAGAGTTTGACTGGCACAATCTAGTACCAATGACCAACTGTACTCAAATGCATACTGATTATATGTTGTGGACAAAGATAAGAACATGGCATCTCATTTTTTTTCTGTTAGTGATTCGGTTCCTAAGAGAGCCTGAATGCAAGTTTTTGCATTGTGTGCTCCTCATATTCCCCATTTTCCCTTCCTCCTCTAAACACCACACACACAACTAAATCAACAGAAATACCTCATAGGTTCACACAATTTGACACCACCCTGGAAATGGACTACCAAGAAACACACGTATTTCATTGGATCAGTCCCACAAGCAGTTTCCTCACATATTTAAAAAGCCTATAAGAACTACTCTAAAAAATGTCCAGTGTTGTTATAGCTTACAAAGCTAAGCAGCAAGCTAATTCTGGCAAGGCTTGGCTGATTTATGAGTAATAGTGTGAGATTGAGTTCAGATCTGAAATACTGTCAATAAATAAACTCAGTACAATTCAGCTGTTTTGAGTCATTTTGGTTTTCGTTTTCGGTCAGATACTACACCAAGGAAATTGTTGATGGAAAGGAGCGGAGGAGACGAGACCATTTACCAACTAAAACGGCCCCAGCAATATCCTCAGAGAAAGGGTGCATATGTTTTGCCACACACAAGACTCCGGTTGACTCCAACACCTACAAACCAAGGCTGAAATTGAGTCTTCTAGTATACAACAGACAGTTGTAAACACACAGGAGAAAACAGCACGTAGTGAAACTATCCCCCACCCCATAACCAAAACAGATGCTCACGAAAGGTACCTGTTCCAGTTGCTGAAGAATAATCTGATCGAAGCCCAGCTGCATAGGTAAAAAAATTGAAGTGAGCCTTCTCATTTTACAATTAAATCAACATCCAGAATTTAAATGTACCCAAACACATGTTACTTCAGTAATAAACACACTTTTTGCAAACCAAAGCAGCTGCAAAATGGATAGCTGCCCTGGGCCACCTGCCAATTTATGTCAGTTCAGCAAGCAGCCTTGGACTAGGTGTTTCCCCAAGTAACTCAGGCCTTAAGGCAGAAGAGACTGTATATTTTCAGTGACACTTGAATGAGGACCTGAGATGTACAGAAAGAGGCACCCAGGAGAGATATTGTTTGGCGCAAGACTATGGTGTACTACCTCAGGTTTCTGCTAGGGCCAGCTGCTTGTAAGCAGTTTGTTATCACCTTTCTTCAAGAGAACAGAATTTGTGTACTCTTCCGAATAAAGAGATTACCCCAAGAAAATATCTAATTTGGCTGCACCCATATTGGATGCAGTTAGGGAATCTGCTCTGAACACTGAAATAGGTCATTGGAGAGGCAACTCCACAGCTTGCTTTTCAATCTCTGTATCCAAGTAATTTTTATGTTAAATTAAGGATGCTACATTTTGACGTCTGGGGAAGCCTTAACACTGTAAGTTTGTCATCCTTGAAGAAATAGTCTAATCAAAACTAGGCTTGGATAGAAGTGGTGAAGTTGACTCCAAAAATAGATATAATTAGGAGCCTTTGGGGTTCATTGTCTGAGTTCTTTTCTCTCCTTAACTTTGCTTCAGCATAGTTTTCTGCATCTTAATACATATTCATTTGGAGATAGAGGACTGGAAATAATAAATATTTATAGTAGTTGCTCTTCTAGGTCAAAAGACTTCTGATTAAATTATTGCATGAAGGTTATAGACACACTCAAATACTGACCGCTCAGAACAATGGAATCCATGTCCACTGCAAGACCTTGAAGACTCCCCACAGAAGTCCGGTTGACAATACTCGTCTGAATAGAGTCCTTTAAAATGGCAGCTACACAGTCTTCACAGAATACTTGGCCTTTTGCTGGTGGTACCACAAATACTATCCAGAAATGAACAAGAAGGCCTCCATTGTTGTTGTTACTGAAATAAGTATTAAAATAGATTCTGACACATTGTGATGTTTCTCAGGATTGTTACTCTTAATGTAGGCTTCTGGCTAGTGATTCAGATGAATAAGATTCCTATTTTTTTACACGTCTTTATTCTTTTGACTCACTGAGCATATTTTCCTTCTTCAAAAACACTACTTAAGACCCTCAACCAAGAAACTAATTTTCAGAGGGCTGGCATATTTTTACTAGGTCTAGTGAAAATTTTAATCGACTTGAGTTGGAGCTGGAATGTACCCTAAAGGGAGGGAATGGAAATGATTATCTCTGTGCCCTTAAACAACCCATCTCCATCATCCTGCAGCAACTTCCAAAAGTATTTAATTGAATCTTAGGGCCTCAACACTCTCATCAACCCATCATCTCCCTGGTCCACTGTGTGGTCATTAAGGCCTGGTCCCCACCTGAAAGCCATATTAGCATAACTATGTAGGGTAGAGATACAATTTAAACAATATAATTATACCTGTACAGCCACGGTAATATAGATGCAGCTATACTGTTATCAAGTTGCATAACACAACTATACTTCTTTGTCCTTCTCCTTCCCCTGGCTGCAGAGGACAGGAATAGGAGCAATAACCTCAGACTGCTGCAGAGAAAATTTAGGTTGGAGATTAGAAAGAACATTCTCACTGAAAGGGTGGTCAAAAAGTTGTGGAATCTCCTTGGAAATTTTCAGAAGCCGATTAGATAGGCAGCTGGCTGAGATGGTTTAGTCAGGGATGATCTGGACTTGAGAAGGGGGCTGGATTAGATGACTTAATGGGGTGCATCCAGATGAGTGTTCATGTGCAGTTTGTCATGCTGCAGACCCATCTACAGTGCTAATTTGCAGCGTGCGGGGCTTTTTTGACACAGGGAAATCCCAGGGTTAAAAAAAAAACCCACAGCAGAAAAAAGCAGGGCAGTGCATGAAACCAGGGCCTGGCGGCCAGAGGCAAACTCCAGTTGCCATTTGGCTCCGTGCACCTGGGTCACCACCACTAGAGCCCTAGAGGGTGCCAGGGCCCCAAGTAAGACTGCTGGGGCAGGCTGGTGCTGGTCCCAGCCTTTAATACCCTGCCCAGGCAACTTGCTGCACATCAAAGCATGCAGGCACAGGCGTTCCCCGAGGACAAGTACCAGCAGCACAACTATGCGCCACTGCTATATACCCCCAGGAAAATGCATATGCATATTCGTCTGGATGTGCCCATGATGTCCCTTCAGCCCTACTTCCCTATAATCCTACAGATATAAAGTACTTTTATGAGTATAACTGTGTCCATATTGGAGTACTGTACAACTTTAAGTATATTGTAGTAAAAATTAAGTTGTTCAACTTTTGTTTTACTAAAAGAGCTACCAAACTCCAATAGGGCACTATTTCAATACAGTGAAAGACTTGGTTCAATTTGATTTAATCTAGTTTCTAGCAGTTATGCATGAAACTAAAACAGACCCAGTGCAAACAGATAAAATAATGTATGCATAGCCTTTTATCCTGATTCACAAAATCAGCCTCATGAGTTGCAACATCCCCAGTATTTCAGCTTATAATTGTTTCCCTTGCCTCCCAAATAAGGCCCAGTCCATCAGCCCTTATCTACAAAGAACTTTGCACTGCTAAAATTAAACCTGTCTAGTTAAATGGAAACAAACACCTGTACACAGCCACAGCCATCCTGAAGAGTTCAGCTTATCCCTAACTTCCTTTAATCATCTTTAAGGGTCTGCAAAGTTTCAGTGGTCTAAGTAAAGGTCCAATTAAAAAAAAAGATCTAGTTAGAAAAGCAACTGCATATAATGGACCAAAATGCCAGGAAGAAGTCATGTAAAACTAAGTTTGCTTGGTGTACTTACTCCTGTATTCAGGGTCAACAAAACCAGAGAACAATTTCACCACTGAGCTTTACCTGACATCTGAAACAATGGACTGCTTATAGAACTTGGAGAAGGCAGATGTTGTATAAACCAAGTTCATCTGAAAGAGATCAAAGTATTATTTCTTTGGGTCATTCAGGATCCATAGCTCTCAGAAAGATCTTGAGGAGATGGGCATATCCCACTTTTCTGTACACACATTTAACAATTTGTGGTGATGATATAATTGCAAATTCCCTGTGATTTAGCAGTTTTTAGCAAAGCATTTTCATCACTAATACTTGCTTCCTTTATGTCTGTCAAACAAAAACGGTCTCCACCTTTCAAGCAGGCCCCTGGCAGACGTGCATTTAAAGGTGAGTTGAGATCTGAAGTATGACACCGCCAGTTGTGCTTCTTGGCATGCCATACATTCATGCAGGAGGTGTGATTGTGAAATCAAGCATCAGATCCCATCACACCATATTGCAGGTGCAGGGGGAGCCAGAGATCCTGGACTCCCTCAGCACAGAGAAGTAGCAAGCTCCCGCTGCTGGGAGCCAGGGTCAGCTGATCAGGCCCCAGCTACGGGGGCCTACCATGCGGCTAGGGGCTGAGGTCAACTGATGGCACTCCCAACTGCGTGGGTGAAGCAAAACTCTTGACTCCAACTGTGCCCCAAAGGCTGAGAGCCCACAAGCTACCACTGCTCCCAGTGGAAAGGGCATATCAGAGTCAAGGGTTCCAGTGCACTCCTATAGTTGGAAGCTACAGCCGATAACAGCCCTCAGCTTCAGGGGCGCATGGCAGCTCTTGGCTCTGACAGCCCCCACAAAGCTAGGAGTGGCAATCAGCTGGTCGGCACACACAGCCTTGGGAGTACATGCAAGTCAAGGGCTCTTATATGCTCTGGAAGCTCAGCCTGGCCACATGTTCAATTAATGACATGATAGGGACCAGCCATAAAGTTCTTATACATATTTTGTGTAATTATTTTGTGACTTCTCTGTTTTATCATGACATTAAGTGCATTAACTTGTGGCCGGGTACTACTTAAGACATGATTAACTGGTTAATCACATCTTAAGTGTAACGTGTGCCAGGGGCTTGTGACAGATTTCACACTGGTAACTAACCTGTCTTGTTCTGAACAGATTTCCAATCCTTTTACAGAAAAACGCTTTGCCACTTGGATAAAGTCTGCAATTCATATGAGCATTAAGTAGGATGATGCTTCAGGTAAGAATATTCCAATACAGCAGCTACAACTTGGAATGGCAGCTGGATTGTTTGAAGAAGTATTTTGCACTTTGCCACTAGAGGGCATATGCCTTAAGAGAGCAGAGGCAAGTTAAAAACTGTAGTCACAATTAAATTCAATACAGCTGCAGCAGTGGCTAGTAGCTGAGGTCTGCCTCCTCCTTTGTAAAGATCAGGCTAATTAAGAGCATGCAAGTCAAAGGGCATTGTTTGTGCTCATTACCTCTCCACAGTAGGCTTAAAAGTAATTGAAGATTGTTTTGTTTTTTATTGGGGCATCAAGAAGTCAACCTTAAAGGGCTCCCCCATTTCACTGCAACTCCTGTGACTGCCATACACCTATTTGGAAGCTTTTATAGATTCATAGATGCTAGGGTCAGAAGGGGCCTCAGTAGATCATCGAGTCCGACCCCCTGCCTTGGGCAGAAAAGAGCGCTGGGGTTGATGACCTCAGCCAGGTGCATGTCTTGTAAGAGCAGGTTAGACAAACATTCGGATGAGATGGTTTAGACTGCGATGATCCTGTTTTGGGGGTAGGATTGGATGATCTCCTGATGCCCCTACTTTTTCTATGATTTTCCATATTTTTGAGAGACCTTTGAGACAGCAATTAACAAAGGGGTGTCATATCAAAAGCACTGCAAGAAATAAGGAGACAAAAGAGTTTCCCTTCTCTAATTCCCTTTCTAATACCTATACAGCTGGGGATTTTTTTTTCCTACTGAATAGAGAAGTCAACTGAAAATGCAGGTTTGGTCATTTGTGAATTCACCCAATAGTTTCAACTAAAAACAAAACAAAACAAAACCACTTGGAGCTAGAATTGAATCTTCAGCCAAATACAGGACAAGTATTTGAATCTAGGTTTCCCATGTCTCAGGAAGGTAACCTCTAAATCCATTGTATCCTTAGGTGGCTCTTACACCACCCCTCCGGTTGGAGCTGTTTCACTTGTGTACAGTAATGACCAACACTAAGCATTTGGAGAATACCACCACTCTTCAGGCAGGCAAGTATCAGAAGGAAACTAAACATATCTAGCCCAGCTATTAAGCTGAAAGCAAACATTGTCTTCTAATTAATATTTCAACTTAAGGTTAAGTGTCAGCCAGTTTCTCAAGTGTTACCTTAAAAATGGCTTTGTAGGGTTCTTTGCTGGTTTCTCATTATGATCTGATGAAGTGAGCTTCATCCCATGAAAGCTTCTACTATATGCACACACAGACCCCTGGCAGATGTTCATTTAAAGGTGTAATGGGATCTTGGCCACAACCCCAACAATAACACCTCCTTCCATGTATATGTGCATAGCAGGAGGTGTGATTGTGCCATCAGATCCCAATGTCTCCCTATTGCCTGTGCGGGAGCCTGGGGGGAGCCTGGGATCATGATGGAGCTCCAATGTGCTCCTGAGGTTAGGAGCATCAATCAGCTGACTGGCACATCCAGACATGAGTGTACCAGAAAGATAGGCTCCAATGCATACCCAAGCTGGGTGCACCCGTCAGCTGACTGGCACTTCCTGCCATGAGAGTGCACCGGAGAAAAGGCCTCCGATTCACTCCAGCAGCTGGGAGTGCCCATCAGCTGATAGGTGCTAGCCAAATCAGCAATTTAATATGCGATAGGAAACAGCTACAAAGTTATTACACATTTTGTGTAAGAATTTTGTGGCTTATTCTTTTTTATTGTGCCATTAATTACAAGAATGTGTGGCAACATTACCAAAGACATGATTAACTGGTTAATCATGTCCTAAGTGTAACATCTGTCAGGGGCCATGCATAGATGCACGCATGCACGCACGCATGCACGCACGTACGTGCACACACACACACACACACACACACACACACACACACACACACACTTTGGTTAGTTTATAAAGTGCAAATCTACTCTGTGTTCTTTTTACCTTCCAAGCCAAAAAAGTTCACTAGAGGCCCTAGGATTGCAAGAAAGGTTTGTGAGCTTGTACAAACTTGTCCTGCCTTTAGTTTGCCAGAAAAGACTGAAAGCAACCAATTCTAGCCTGCTTCCGGTTAGCAAAACTATTTGCAGCTTTCTATGGAGAGCTACCATCACTGCAAGAGAGAGGTTTTCCTTAATGCCACCTTATATCACCACCATAACCTTTCCAGTTTTGAACTGTTTGCCAGTTGAACAACATGCTGCCTCTTACCACTTGCTGCACGTTCTGTGCCACCGACAGGAATTCTCTTGATTCCTTCCGCCTGTGTTCTGGGAGAAACTCTATGTTGGCAACACGAAATAATCCAACAAAATACAAAGCATCTTCACCTCCTGGCTGAACTGTAAAAAAAAAAAAAAAAAAAAGGAAGGTTGATCCCCCTTCACTTAAACAGCAACAAAAAATGATAACTGATAAAGTTCCAGTCCAAAATCAGTTATTTATTTCCACAACAGGAATAACCCTCCTGTGGGACCTCATAGAGAAATAAGGCTGGAAGGGACCTCCAGAGATCAATTAGTCCAACCCCCTGCCTGAGGGAAGATCATCCCTCTCCAAACTATCCCATACAACCATAATTTTAATGCTACATAAGACTACCCTCAAATTTGACACAAGACCTAACAACCTAACCTGCCACAGGTAAAGCAAGGGGACCATGGCAGCCAATGCCCTGCTTCCATATTGTTTCATGAAGCAAGCTATGCTTTATAAAGAACATTTTATGCAATGAGCTCAGTGCACTCTAAAGAACTGTGACCAAGCAAGCCTCAAGGCCCCTGTAACACACAAAATTTCATAGACAAGGAGCCCAAGGCACAGAGCCAAGATCATCTCACTGCAAGTGGCAAATGTAAT